GTGAACAGCCGTGTGCATTTCTGTCCCCCTGCTTCAACCCTCAGCACTGTTAAAAGCCACATTGGAAACAGGCTGGCTCTTAACAGTGGGGGGGGGGGGGGGGTAAAAGCTTAAGTGTTCGCAGCTGCTTCTGGCTGCTGTTCTGTGCTGTGTGAAACCTTACCATCTTAAGGCTGCTTCTCTGCAGCAGTTATGCCGATGTCAATTCACGTTCTGTCAAAGGCAGCTGAATATGCGGACGGGCAGGAAACCATTCCTGACACTCGGTCGCAACACAGAGGAACAATTGTTGATCCAGAGGATGTGTCTACACATCACGTGTGCACACAATCACTCATAGGCGTGTTAGTTAGAGCACTCGCCCCGCAAGCAAGAGGACTTGGGTTCGATTCCCGGTCAAGTTTCCTCACTCCACACGCCTCTGTTTACCCAGCAGTAAGTAGGGACGCAGTTGTTAGTTGATTGGCGGCTCGCTTTTTCGGGGGTAATAATCCCTTAAAGAATAATAATAATTTGGTCACTTCGATCCACGGCTGTTTGTGGGGACGCTGCTGTGCGCAATTGGCTGCTGCGTTTTGCCCACAAAATATACAGTCAATTCACTTTACAGTGTATCCCGTGAAGGGCTTTGAGACGTCTCGAAGATGTGATGAGGCACTGTTTCAAATGCAAGGATTATTATTATTTTTCTATGTAAGAAACACAGACTCCCCTAGATTTATTTTACCGGCTGCTGCTCTCTCACACCCTCTATTTTTTCTCTCCATCTCAGGCTTGGTGGTGTGCCTCACTACACGGCTTGGCTTCACCTAGAATCTCTCATCTTGAACAAAAGCTTAGACGCTTTCCACAAAGACATCTCTTTACCCAGAGCCAAAGGAACTGCTGAGATCTGTCGGGAGAGAAACTACATTAACAAGCGAGTCACTATTCAACTGTGGGCAACAGCATCAATAATAAGCTGCCTCGCTTGCGATAGAATTTGGCTGCTTTCACTTTGGGAAGTCTACCTTGCCAGGGGTCTTCAAAAACCCTTTAGAAACAATTTTAAAGAAAAGTAAATGAGTTTGTACTCCCATGAGTGACTTTTACACAGTTTAATAATAATAATGATTGGCCAATTTTTTTTTAAACCTCGAAACACATCGCATCACAGGAGTTGACGCATCTGTGGGACATCTGAGTCACTTAGCACTTAAGATCAACCGATCGACCCTTTAATAAAGAGCTCCAGATGTGGTGATGTCCGAAGGCAGATGTCTGGCCTCACATTCAGAAACTCAGTAAAAACAGAGAGAGAGAAAAAGTTCCTTATCAGCCTGCCAACCTTTTACACCGAGTGAGGACCGCCATTGAGAAACATTTATAAATGATACTCTGCATTTCAGGCCTCGGGGACGTTACCCCTCAATAAAGAGCGCGATATAAATGCAAGTTGTTGTTTATTTGATGTGATTTTAGCCCCTTTCACATTGAGCGAATGTCTCAAAGCGCTTCACGAAGAAGTGTAGTGACTGTGTAATTTTTGTGGGCAATATCGATTGGCTGCCGCTTTTCGCCCATCAAAAATTCACAGTCACTCCACTTTACAGTGTACCCTGTGAAGTGCTTTGAGACGTCTCGAAGGATTGATAAGGCGCTGTATCAAATGCAAGGATTATTATTAGTTACAGTAAATTCATAGGAAGTGCTTTGAGATGACCCCCCCCTAAGATGAAAGGCACTACATCGATTGCAAAGATCATTTATTATTTATATAGCGAACAAAGAAAAGGCTTTAGCAAACTCCACATCCCATTGTACTTGGGATTCGACAGAACACACAGCATTGAACATCAGGGGGGAAATGAACACAGGTTGATAGTCGATGGCAAATAGCACAAAGTTTTGAGCAGAGAGAGGACGATAAACAATAGTGATATTAACGAACAGAGGTTGATATTAACAGCGCTGCTCCCAGCCCAGGTTTTAAAAATACAAAAAAAAACCACACATGGCCTGATTTGATTTATATCTGACGGCTGAGACAAAATTCACTGTGGGTTTGACCTGACAGTTAAACAATGAGGTTGTAATTTTTGTTGGTTGCTGGTTTCGTCAGCTGTACACACACCTACTCCACTCCTTTGTGGACCTGCTGAATAGAACCTGTTAACATACCATTCATTGTGCTGAAGCAGTGCTCAGGAAGCACTGGGTTTTAATGAATGGGATTGACTTCGGTCGTTACACTTCATTCAACTCCATTTTTCCCGCAAACCAAACGTACGTATAAGAATAATAATCATAACAATAATCCTGGCATTTTTCACAGCGCCTTATCATGTCATCGAGACGTCTCAAAGCGCTTCACAGGATAAACTGTAAAGTGAATTGACTGTATCGTGTGGGCGAAACACGGCAGCCAATTGCGCACAGCAGTGTCCCACAAACAGACCAAATTACTACTTTTTTTTGAAGGGATTATTACCATATATAAAACATCTAAAATATAAAATAACTAAAATATAAAATGCAAGTTGTTGTTGAGGTTCGATCATGGGATTTCTCAATCTCAAACTTGTTTCTGACTTGTAAAAGGCTGTAGCATTTGCCGATCTCGGTTCATTCATTCTCAACTGCAATCACGATGGAATCAGTCACGGCAAAGCCTTTTGTCATGTGTTCCAGTGTCTTGAAAGGCAGCTTGAATGCGATCGCAACTGAACCATTCATATAAGCAGCATCTTCCAACTCTTCTGGCGGGAAAAGAAGTGGGGCTGAAAATAAAAAAGTCAAAGGTACAGATTCCTGGCGAAGCTTCAAAAGAAACAGAGATTTCTAAAGGAACCACATTTAAAAATCTCCTCCATCCCTTTTACAATGAGGTGCATTCATCAACTCACACAGCACCAGTACAATGGGTGGAAATGGCTGTCTTTGATTTGCAAAAGTCAGCACTTTGTCCTCTCCGCAGAAAGTCCTATTTCCCCCTTTACAACGCTCAGGCCATGATTGATTAAGTACTCTGAGACGCCGCACGGTGTGAAAGACGCTATAAAAATATAGCAAGTTGTTGTTTGCTGTCTATCTTTTTCAAAACAAAGTCCGAGTACTATTATAACATGTTGGTGCCACTATTGTTTGTTTCTAAAAAAAAAGTTAGTGCAACATTTCTAACCAACGTTAAGAAAACTAACGTGGAAACAAAAAAAAGGTACTATTTGCAAAGAGAAACTTGATGTGGGGCACTGTGTGTTTCTCCAATTGTACTTGGCTCGTCATAATAATAATCCTTGCATTTGATACAGCGCCTCATCACGTCTTCGAGACGTCTCAAAGCGCTTCACAGAACATACTGTAAAGTGAATTGACTGTGTATTTTCATCCCAAATCTGTTGAGCAATATTGTCGTTGATGCCTTTACTGAACCTCTGATCAAGTCCTCTGTCCTCCCAGCCCAGCAGCAGATCTTGGCAGCAGAAGTGTCGGGCAGGGGAAAAAAAAGATCAAAGTGTAAAATACTCATCCAACTAACGTCCTTAAAATACCATTTAACACGCCGTGACACGCTCTTGGATAATAATCCTAGCAATCGGTTGATTTGAAAAAGCAGAATTAATGGTTTGGGAGTGGATACAAGTGAGCAATGGATGGAAATGGGGAACAGTTGATAAGATGTGAAAAAATATTGGGAGTGAAATATCCTCCTGAAGTGAAAGGCACTACATTAAGGGTACTCTGGTGTATCATCAACTGAGATCCAGAATACAGGTGGAAATTCTACGACGGCCTTTGAGATGCCCGACTATCTCTTTTGTGGGGAGAAGTTATAATAATCATAATAATAATAACCCTTGCATTTAGTACAGCACCTTTCATGTCAAGAGGATGTCCCAAAGCGCTTCACAGCGAGATTCACGCTTTGAAGAAATCCAGCATAGAACTTATTATTATTATCTTTGTACTGTTAATGCTTTTAAGCTCTCCATTTACCCGGTTAAGAACTTTTTATTTGTTGTTGTTGTCGTTGAAAAATTGGCACAGACGCGCGAAAGAGAGAGAGAGAGCGCGAGAGAGACTGTGTTTAAAGCAAGAGTGGCCCGGTATTCAGGAGATAATGTATCCCACCTGGGAACAAATCTTTATTGGAAAGATTATACATACGAAAATTAGCTGGGAATGAAAAAGAATACAATTTTATAAATTGGATTTTTTTCCCCCCCAAAAAAAGAGCTACCGTTCAGAGAGAGCTGGGTGGGACGATTCTGTGAAGTTGAACTCTTGTCGGGTACAAAATTGTGTGGGTGTCGCTCAGAGTTTCTCTCAGGGAAAAAAAGCCATCTTTTTAATCTTCTTCCATGTCTTCACAGGTCACTGGCTTCCCACGTAGTCAGTTAACAGAGCAGGCACGTAAAAGTAGAAGCAGCTTAATTTGGTTGTGGTCGCGAACACACAGACACAACAACCACACACAACTAGCCATTCAAATCGCCTTCATTTCCGCCCTCGACAAAGGGTGACAAATGTCCTGAATAATGTCCCTTTCACTCGGCGTTTATTTAGCTCATCATCACTGCATTTTCAAAGCGTGCTCCATTGTAACGTTCCCAGTAATCGCTTCTTCCCGCCATATTCACTCGGAACCGGAACAAAGATAGTCGTTATCTTTTTTTTGTAAATTCTGACATCCAATGAGTAAAAGCTGGCTGGACAGACGAGGCTTACAGCAAGAAAAGGCTGTGACACCCAGACACCAGAGGCAGAGACACACTTCCCGGTTGCCTCCTGACTGGCAAATTGCATTTCAATCGCATCAAAAAGCTCGAGATGTACGTGAGAATCGATCAGAGTCACGTTCAGCTCCGTCTCAAGGCTTTCTGTGTGCAACGATCTGCCCTCAACATGCACAAACCACCCGCCTTCTGCCCACCCGACTTAGATAAACTCAGGCGCCTCAGAAGCCGACCTACCCTTATTCGGTTCCTTACCCATTCAGATTAGCCTCTTCATCTCTTTCGTAACCAAAAGACTACGTTCGGGCACCTAAATGCAAGCCAGGCCATAGATAGCTCTTCCCGCACCTGTAAACTATACCAAGCTCAAGACATTATTCGGCTTCTAACAGTACAAAAACAATCTACAGGTTGGACACACCAAAAAGTCTCCTCACAGGAACCCAACGCCTTACATTTCTCTTTGTTCCATTCTCACGCGAGTTGTGTTTCTGACTCCCTCACCTCCCCCCCACCCAACCCCATACACACACACCTCCCACTAAGCCCCCACCCCACCCCCGCCTCCCTGGTAATATAAGATTCTGGGCAAACCCAGGCTGTGTTGTTTTTTTTTATTTAAAACTTATCAAAGAAGCTGTATAATCGGGAAAAAAAACATATAAAAATAAACCCAAACCGGTGTCAGTCTGAAACAAAATGGTGGCCAATGTGAAGTGTGTGTTTTTTTAGTCCCGATTAATCAACCACAGGTTTGAGGGTCGTTGTCACTATAGGTAATGTGATTAAAAAAAAGTTGAAATACTGTAACTTAGAATTATCGTCTCGTACTACCTACAAACTAGAGCTTTCAAGGTTAACTCACTTAGGTGCGATCTTAAACCGTTTCGTTTCAACGGGATTCTGAGCAGTCGGGGGTGGGTGTGTAAAGCTGGGTCAGTGTTATCCGTATCTGCGTGAGAGTTTCAATCGGAATTGGGCCGTTTTCGGTGTAATTTACAGAGCGCTTTGCGGATGCAAAAGGTGAGAAAACAATTGCCCAACTGGTCTCAGGAAGGACAAATAGCGAATGAGTGAGTGAGTGAGTGAGCGAGCGAGCGATCGAGCGTCAAAGAGAAACCTTGAAAACCACTCCCCTCTCCCTCTACAAATATATATATAATATATATAAAAAAGGCAAGGACTTGTGATCCCTGAAGTTATAATCCAAAATATAAAATATCCGACGACTTGCAAAAAAAAACCATGCGATAAAAAAGTAAAGCGTGGTCTGTTAACAAAAACAAAAGCTTGTGTGTTAGTTAGTGATTGCTCTTGCAGGCCTGGGATCCGCTAACACCATCAGATCACTTGACGAGACGTTTCGCTACATCCCCGTAAGCAATCTCGATCTCCTTGTCGCCCGGGCAGGTGTTTGTGAATTCATCCCTGGTGTAAGCGTTCTGCAGGTATCGCCAGATTCCTGTCATGGACTTGCAGATCTCAAAGTTACGGTATTTCTTGGCCACCACCTGGAAACGGGCAAGAAGCAGGTTAATCCATCGAAAGTTCCTGGCAGAGCGAGCGCGCGCGTGTGTGTGTGTGTGTATCAACCGCATTTCAATGACACGTCCGTAGTGGTTTATGTACAATATAATAATCCTGGCCTTTGACACAGCGCCTCATCATGTCTTCGAGACGTCTCAAAGCGCTTCACAGGATACGTACGCAAGCCAAGGCTTGCAGTGGGGGGAGCCCAGAGTGTGCATTGGGGTAACTGCTGCAGTCTAACCGGCTAAGACAGCACAGCTTGGCCATTGAGAGCGCTGTCTGGACAGATTTGCCGCTGCTTGTCCAGCTCTGACCACCCTCCCCGTGAGGGCAGGGTTAACAGGAGCTGAGTGATCTAATCACCGAGCAGTGGTGCAGGGAATGTGGTCACCAGTGTAGCCAGAGGCCACACCTTTGTTAATCATTCATTGAAAAACTTTCTTCACTGCGGCAAATCTTTCCAGGCGACTGAGTCAGAGAACAATGGGAAATCGATCGATCGATCAGTCGACCGACCAACCAACCAACCAACCAACCAATCAATCAATCAGTACCTTAACAATGTGAAGCTTTGGGAGCAGGTTGCAGTCAGCCAGTGTCATTTCGTTGCCGTCTAGAAACTTGCGGTCGGAGACCTTGATGTCCTCCATGCTGTCGGCGTCGATCTCATCGGGAAGGGGAGAGTTTAGATACTCGTCCAACTTCTGCAAAGCTTTCAGCAGGCCCTTCTCCAGAGCTGGAGAGAGAAGAGCGCACTCCGGTTAGGTCGCCCACAAAAAAAATACACAATCAATTCACTTTACAGTCTATTCTGTGAAGAGCTTTGAGACATCTTTCAAAGACGTGATAAGGTGCTGAATCAAATGCAAGGATTATTATTATTATTATTATGTGAGGCAGAGGGGAAAAAGAAGCTTAACGGAAAATCCGGTAAGATTTCAGAAAGTTGTGGAATAGACTCAGGGTACCGAGTTGGCACAACAACAACAACTTGCATTTACACAGCGTCCCTCAGGCAAGGATAGCGCCCCAGGGCTCTCGACAGTGAGCACGACGCTGAGCCAGGAGGATGTGACCGTAGGCACTGGTCAAACAGGAAGGTCGACCTGAAGACGGGGAAGGAAGGACGAGGCTGAGGGAGGGATGGGTAGAGGAAGAGTGTTCCAGAGTTGGGGACTGGTTGGTTCTCGCCCGTGTTGGCCTGGCTCAATCAGTGCATTGTTGAACGTGACAGAGCCCAGACTGGGTGTCAGGCTTAGCTCGGGGTGAGTAATCTCTACCCGGTGAGTAATCCCCATGATGTTGTGCTTTGAGGAGGTATTTGCCTCCAAGTCCCACAAAAAGGTGCCCAGTAAATGGCAGGACATGACATCGGTTTTGCTTCACAAACTTTTAATTCAAGAGATGGGCTCGGTCCAGCCCAGTCCCAGTCTCTATTCTGTATGTTATTATTCACTGAAAAGCACTTCGAGACCTGACTCTGTGTCAAGGGCGCTATGTATTAAAAAAAACAAGTCGTAGTTGTTGTTCTTGTTAAACCCTTACTGCACATGAACACACTCTGGCTGTTACATTGAGGTTAGGGTTGAAATAATAATAATAATCCTTGCATTTGATATAGCGCCTTATCACGTCTTCAAGGCGTCTCAAAGCGCAATTGGCTGTCACGTTTCTCCCACAAAATACACAGTTAATCCACTCGACAGTATATTCTGTGAAGCGCTTTGAGATGTCTCGATGATGTGATAAGGCGCTGTCTCAAATGCAAGGATTATTATTATTATTGTTGTTATTATTACTAACACGTTGCTTTACCTTCATTACCGTCCGGCTTGGAGTTTTTGATGTAAGCTGAGAATTTAGCGAAGATATCATTGCCGGCTGTGTTCGACTCTGGGTGCTTTGTTCCGAGCTTCAGGTACCTGAGAGCACAAATTCAAAACACGTTTGAGTGAGTGGGTGAGTGAGAGGGAGGGAGGGAGAGAGAGAGAGTGTGAGAGAGCCAAGCAGAATTCAGTTGCAACGCAGCAGGCAGTCAGTCAGTGCAACATTCCTTAAAAGGACTTGAATCCACATGGTAAACAGGAGGCAGTTCTGCTATGAGACCATTTCCTAAACCAGTTCACGTCATTTCCAGCAGCACATGAGAAAGAGAGAGAGAGAGAGAAAGAAAGAAAGAAAGAAAGAAAGAGCAGGTTGTTTTGCTGATGTGGTTACAGTCCAATACACAATTATACTGACACATTCCTCCTGACTTGAAGCCAACAATGCTGATTAAGACACCCGAAGTGCGGGTGGGGGAGAGGAGGGGAGAGGAGGGGAGGGGAAGGTTGCCTCAAAACACGGTCAAAGAGAACAATGGCTAATCAATCAATGTAAGAACCAGAGTTTGGGATTCATCGAATAGATTGCGATATAATAATCAATAATCATAATAATCCTTACGCCTATAAAACACACAATCACTACACTTCACAGTGTATCCTGTGAAGCGCTTTGAGACGTCTCAAAGACATGATAAGGCACTGTATCAAATGCAAGGACTGTTATTATCATTTGATATCGTGCCTTTAACGTCGGGTGGATGTCTCAAAGCGTTTTATATACTGTTAAGTGCAATGACTGTTTCACAGGCAAACACGGCAGCTAATTTGCACACAGCATTGTCCCACAAAATAAATGACCTATTGGGCACTGGGAGAAATGCCAAGTTTTCAACCCGTTGTAACATTTCGTTCAGTCCCCGGAATATCAGAGGGAGGGGAGGGAGGTGGGAGGGGATCAGTAATGTTGAATCTATTTAGTCAGAAAATTTATGATTCGGAATAAATAATGGAAATGGGATTTCAAAGACATTCAATGGCAAGAGGCATAGAGCTCAGAACAGATTTTATCTTTAGCCAGAAAAGGTATGTTTGGATGTGTCAAAATGATTAAATGTTGACGTCTATTTATTGGTGAGAATCACACTATTACTCAAGGCAAGAGCAGCGTGGTTGGAAAGTCTGATGGGTCACTGACGTCAAGTTACACAATCCCCCTAGCTCGATCTTTCAAGGAAACAAAGCAATTTGAGCTGAAACCATTGAGTCCATTCAAGCATTTTGCTCACATGGATCGTGTACAGTTACACTTATGTTAAGATCCTGAGAGATCAAGAAAGCAAAACTTTAAAATACATGTAATGTTTCCCGCTGCTTGTCCAGCTTTGCACCCCCTCACACCCCACGCCAAGAGAAACAGGTGGGCCTTCAGTCACTCTGCCCCCGCCCTCTGGAACTCCAGCCCGCAGTCCTTCCGCCTCGCCCCCTCCCTCGCCTCCTTCAAGACCCGTCTCAAAACCCTCCTCTTCGACCGTGCCTTCGATCACCCTCCTTCCCCCTCCTGCCCTCCATCCTCTCCGATCCTGACTCCCAGCTCGGGTCCGAAACACTGACCGTCCGGCGCCTTGGGACGTCCTCCTGACATGAAAGCCGCCGTGTAAGTGTCATTTTGTTGTTGTTGTTTCAAAATAGCGCCACGCGGGATCTTTAACTGAGGTCCAGCTGAACAGGCAGATGGGACGTCGGTTTACAGCAACAACAACTTGCATTTACACAGCGCCCCTCACGTGGGGTAGCGTCCCCGAGCGCTTGACAGTGGCCGAGTCCGATCCTGAGCCGGAAGGGGAAGAGGGAGCTTGTCCGTAAGCATCATCAAAAAGGAAGGTTCAACGTCTCATCCGGAAGACGGCACCTGCGATAACATAGCATTCCCCGACACTGCCACGGACTATGTGATTCCAAAGTCCCGAAGTGGGGCTTGAACCCACGACCTTCTGAAAAACTTAAAGAGAACAAACGCTCCACTCTTCTCCTCTCCAGTTTAACGTTTCATCCTTTTGGGCTAAACTCTACACAGCCTCCCCCCCGCCCCACCTCCCCCCCAATCCCAACACAAAGCCCAGGGACCTGAATGAACACAGTTGGAAAAAACATAAAAAATTCATGAAGTGCTTTTGACGCGAGCAATTCTTTTGGCTCTGGCGCTCGGCATTACTCATCTGGTGTGATCGCAAACAGCTCAGAACACAGGAGCACAATAACCAAACCAGCCACGCTCATAAAATATGCAGCAGCAGCAGCAGCCGCCAGTGGCCACTTGTTAAATGGCTTGTTTATAGAATATTCCCTCTCTGAAAAAGGTCAAGTAAAACCTTAATCCCGCTGCCCACACAAGCGCGTTCAATTCAAACCTGTAATTGCATTTCAGCCGGCTTGCTTGCCGTGAAATATTAGCACTTGCTTTTGTTTGCTCGAGCTCCTACGGCTCAATTTATTACACTTTTATTTTTCTGTGTGTGTGTGTGTGCGTGCGCGCGCGCGTGTGGCATCCATCTCTCAGTTGTACCCTTTCATCGAATTCATTCATTGAGCGAACTCAGCTCAACGTGCACACGGTAATTGATAACATTCCTTGTAGCGCCGTTTCGCACCTTCGAGGTGTCTCAAAGAGCCTCACGGAATCGACTGTAAAGTGTAAGTGACTGGGTATTTTGTGGGCGAAACGCAGAAGCCCAATTGCTCCCCCCGCCCGTCATCAACAGGCACCTCAACCGCTTCCTTTATTGTCCGTGCAAACAGTCACCTCATTCGTTGAATTCATTCCTCATCTTGCGCGATATGAAGGGAAGGGATGAGGTGGCCGTAGGTGGGGGGGGGGGAAGGGAGAGGCGGGGGCTGGGGCACTAATCCGGTGCCAGTTTATACTGGCACGAGGCATGCCTGTGATTCACCCTGGCGTGAGGCCTAAGCCCCTGGTTACAATGGGCCAATTCACAACCAAGGATTTAAGTCATAATCTGCTGCCAAAGAGAAAGTTTGGAATTTGGAACAAACTTGTCCTCGATACATCGCTGCAATTAAAGAGTTACAGATTCCAACCTTCTGGTGAGTTGAGGGTCAGAATCAATTTACCTCTGGATCCTCCCTCCCTCAATCCCACTGTTCCCTCTTTGCCCGTCTTCACATCGCAGTTAAAGACTTTTTGGCAGCTTTTGTATTTTTTGTCGATATATTATATTGTGACTATGAATATAGACTATACTGTGAATGTATATGTACATGCATATATATATATAGATACATACATACACACACATATATTCTATGAAACCCTTTGAGATGTCGAGAAGATGTATAAGGCACTGGGTCAAATGTAATTTGCTGTTATATCCAATGAAAGGATTATTATCTTTACTTTCTCAAAGTGTAAAGTGAAGTGACTGTATTTTGTGGGTGAAATGCAAATATATCAAATGCATGGATTATTAGCACTTAAGACTAGACTGCACAAGAGACAGACTAGAGCAAGACACAGACTGCAAATGACTCTGTACTGGGCACAGCTTAGAGCTTCTCTCTCTCTCTCCGTGTCATCTTCACAATCAATTCAACTTCACGCTAAAAATTGGTGGAATAAATTAAACCACTTTTGCAGGGACTGCTGACAGTGATTTTGTACCAGTGTTAATTACACGGATCAATCAGAGCTCATGAGCTGCCAGGACATCAGCCTGATTGCAAACCGGTTACTGCAGAGACTGCCTACAAAGCAGCAACACAAAGCGAGTGGATGGACTCCCACCGGCTCCCTCTGCCCTGCCGCGGTTTCCATTGTATGACCCCACTGCTCCGAGCAGAGCTGTTTTGAACACAAAGAGCTTGAGAGTTTCACCACAAAGAATAACACTGGATACGACCCGCGCATTATAAACCGTTCCCAAACATCTGAGCGTTCTCGCGACATCCCAACACGTCCGGTTAGGCTTCTTTTAAAATTACAAAAATAATAATATCTATAAATAATAATAATCCTGGCATTTAATACAGCGCAATGTCACACTCGTTGAGACGTCTCAAAGCGCTTCACAGGATATGTTTTTTTTTAAAAAAGACAGCAGCTTCAAGTGATCTGACTGACCAATGCCTTGGGACATCCTCCCAACGTGAGACGCACTGTACAAATGTCGTTTTGTATTGTATCGTATCTGCAGTTCATCTTTTCTTATTTGTAAGTGCAAATGCTGGTTTGAACAGTCAGTCTATGAATCAATGGAACAGAATGAGAGAGAGAGAGAGAGAGACAGTGTGAGAGAGAAACTGTGTGAGAGAGTGTGTGAAAAAATGAGAACATGATTGAACTTGGATCAAATCTACCACAGTGGAATTTTGCATCTGTGGAATTGCTTTCTATTTGTAAATGAATCAGTAAATAAATAAATCTTTAGGGCTTCGACAGTCAGGAAAATTCTTGGGATCTCTTGGGAAAAATATTAAGAGCTCAGACCAGGGGGTGGGGAGGGGCGGGGGGGGGGGGGGGCGGTTAGATTGAAGGACAAATTTTCTGAGGAATTTCTCCCACACTCACACGCAGCGTGACCTGGCTGTGATTACAGCTGGCCAAGATGGGAGGCTTCACGTTTCCTGGAATTGTCGAGGGTTTCTGACCCTTTTTCGTTTGAAAAACTAATGGAATTGCAAAGTGCGGAGGAGCCCAATTATACCAAATCACAGAGGATTCCCAGTGAAGGGAAACTCCCGTGTTTATTACACTCCTCCCGCCGGAGGTGATTAGAAACGAAAGCAGCTGTTGTCCGTTAAAGAGGAACAAGTCTTAATTATCGGACGATTCCACCACAACAACAACATCCGGCATTTACACAGCGTCCCTCACCCAGGGCAGCGTCTCAGAGTGCTTGACAGTGGCGGAGCACGAAGCTGAGCCTGGGGGAGGGGGGGAGGTGACCGTAGGCACTGGTGGAAGAGGAAGGTCTCCAGGCGCGACCTGCAGACGGGGGAGAAAGGAAGGGGGCGAGGCTGGAGGGACAGAGGGAGAGTCTTCAGGGCGTAGTGGCTGGAAGTGGGGAGGGAGGGCACAAGGGACAAGTAGGAGGCTGGAGCCAGTCGAGCGGGGAGTGGGTTGGGGGAGTAAAGCTGGTCGGAGTGAAGCTACGATGATTTGGGTTTAATACATCTTACAGTTTACAGTAATCTGACACCAGGAACATCGCAGAAACATTCTGAAGACGCACAACTTCAAAGGCCGCAAGTTTTTAAGGTCAAACACAGCCAGGAGTTAGAATCCCGTGATCCTGGTGAAAAAAGAAACCCTCCAGCAGCAACTAGTTTTTAAAGAGGGAAAATAAAACTAGAGCTGGCCGAACAAATCCTGTCAACCCACAAAGCTTCACCGGATGGGGGTTGGGGAGAGAAGAGATAAAGAGAGACTTTGAAACACGTTGCATTTAACACAAAAAGGACGGTTTGCTTGGGCAAAGTCAGGAATATTGCAGTCTCCCACGAGCAGCTCCTGTTGCCCCCCCCACTTCCCCCCCCTCCCCTCCGCCCACCACAACACAAAGCAGTCCTGGAGAGAGCTGCAACTAATGCTCTCACAACAACAACAAGATTGAATTTATAGAGCGCCTTTCACGTCAGGAGGACGTCCCAAGGCGCTGGACAGTTGGGTCAGGACCCGAGCATTGGGGGGAAATGGTGAGGGGAGGGAAGGGAGGGAGCGAGGATGGGGTAGAGAGTCGAGAGGGGAGGTGAAGGCACGGTCGAAGAGAAAGGTCTTGAGACCGGCCTTGAAGGAGGAAAGGGAGGGAGGAAGCGAGGCAAAGGCACTGGGGGATGGAGTTCCAGAGCCTCGGGGCAGGCAGTGCAGTGAGCAGGAAATGTGCTGTTCGGCCTCTTGACAACAAACAAACTGGTCACCAGACCAGATGTGCTGTATTGAAGCTACGAAAGAAACTAAGACTCAGGAAAAGGGCCCTATTTTTGTGTGCGTGTGATGTCATCGCATACACAACACACACACATACATACACACACCACAGAGATCCTACTAACAACAACAACAAATTACATTTACTCAGTGCCTTTCACGTCAGTAGGACGTCCCAAGGCGCTGGGCTGGACAGTCAGGGATTTGGACCCGAGCTGGGGGTTGGGATCAGGAGGGGTGGAGGGCGGGGTGGGGGGGGGTGGTGTAGGAGGGTGACCGAAGGCGCGGTTAGTGGTTAGTCGAAGAGGAGGGTCTTGAAGGAGGCGAGGGGAGGGAGCGAGGATTTTCCACCTGGGGGGAGCCAGAACATCCTCGAGGAACTCTTCAATCTTATTGACGTCGGTCTTGACCTCGCCGTTGAAGGTGATGAAAGGCGGGTGGGTTCCCGGAGCGAGATTCTGCAGGTCAGCGGGTTTCCTATGGGATTAAAGACAACAGACCAGAGCTTCACTGACAGAGCTTGGGGGGAGACTTATTAGAACAACAACAAATTACACTCGTATAGGGCCCTCCACGTCAGACAGAGGCAGACATACTGCAGCATGGAATTCAACAGACAGAAACACACCCAGTTGCTGGTTGACGAACCATAGGAAGAACTAATGGTCCTAACGACGGCACTGAATCCAGCTCCTAATGACAGGAATCTTATCTGAATTTGGGCTAAAATAGTCACACTAAATGCCTGGGATGGCAACTATTCATGAACAAATATAGATCAAGACAGACCGACACATGGCAATAACTTACTTCCTCTCCCCCTCACTCTTGGCAGCAGCAGCAAAGGGAATTCTTTGAAATAAAGAATACGAACGAGAGATTGATGCCAAGCGTCAAATCATCATCATAATAATTATGATACGGCAATGCCTTCTGTCCTGGAGCCATCTCAAAAGAACATTGCAGGATTTTACTGTGAAATGTAGTGACTGTGTATTTGTGAGCGAACGTGGCAGCCAACGTGCACACAGCAATGTCCCCACAAACAGCCATGAAGTGAATGACCAATATTATTGGGGGGTGGGGGGAGGTTGTTGGCCAGGACACAATAACAACAACAACTTGCACTTACATAGCGCCCTCCACACAGGGTAGTGTCTCAGAAAGCTTAACTATCGCAGAGCCTGACTCTGCCTGAAATTAAATAAGTCTTTCATTTGTTGGCAATCAACCTCCTTAGTCTCTAAACCATGCAGAGTGGGAGCTCTTTACTTCCCTCAATCTTCCCATCTCAATAAGTTTATCACCTTTATTGAGTAATAATAATACCTCCAAAAGAACGTATTTGGTCGCTCAATCCACGGCTGTTTGTGGGGACGCTGCTGTGCGCAATTGGCTGCCGTGTTTCACCCACAAAATATACAGTTAATTCACTTTACAGTATATTCTGTGAAGAGCTTTGAGACGTCTCAAAGATGTGATAAGGCCCAATTATTATTATTATTATCATCCTCTGCAAACGAAAGCTTTACGTCATCTAACCACACGTCTTACCCCGTCGAGTTTGGAGCAGCTACTTTCAAACCCTGGCCGCGCGGCTGAACGGCTCGCGCCATCCCGCCCGAGCTCTCATTAAAAACAGAAACTCTTAACGAGCGAGTCTGAGGGATCGCGGATGAGTTCAGATTGATGGGCGTCGTCGTTCCGCTCCCCCAGCTGCAAATCGGAGTTGATGTGTCGGCAGGAGGTTGCGGAGCTGGTGTGTAGTGAGTGCGTGTGAATTCAACGTCTGACAATGGATCTTTTGTTGTTTGGTGCCTGGCTCACGCTGGGGCTGCTTTAAAAGACTCGGAGGTTTGTTGCTACTCCAGTAAGAAGGGCTGAGCGCGTACAGTATCTAAAGGGGGGGTGGGGGGCGCATCGGATAGCATTTAATCCTTACCCGTTAACCCGCCCCCACACCCCCCACCCTACCCAGGCATCAGCTGTTGGGCCTTCAGCCTCTCTGCCCCAACCCTTTGGAACTCCATCCCACAGTTCCTTCCCCTCGCTCCCTCCCTCCCTCCCTCCCTTCTTTCAAGGCCCATCTCAAGACCCTCCTCTTCGACCATGCCTTCACCGTCCTACCTCCACCCCCCCGATCCCAACCACCACCCCCCCTGATCCCAACCACCACCCACCCCACCCTCCCCCCGATAGAAAAGCTCTCTCGGTCTTTACATAGGATTTAGCTTCACTTTAAAAGCGAGAGATAATCAAACACCTTGAGCTCTTGGTAGGTTTATGGTCAAGAGTTGCACCTTAATGTGGCTGTTAAACATCGCAAGTAATATCAATGAAGCTTCCGCACACGTTGAAGTGCTCCGAGACTCTGCTCCGTGTGAAGGGCGCTATGTATAATAATAATAAAAATAATAATCCTTGCATTTCATGTACGGGTAAAAAAAAATTCCATTCAGCGTCATGTCTTTGCTGATAAGCAGCTATAATAGGAAATCCCATTCAAGGTTAACATCCCCAATAGCAACGCACAACACCGCAGAGTGGAATCTTTAGCTCTCAAAGCCCTGTAAGCACTTTTGAGACATCTTCCCGACATGAAAGGCACCGTGTAAATGTAAACTGTATTGTGTTGTGTAACCGCACAGCAGCTCTCACCCAAAATTGCTCAACGGTGCACTTGTAGGTCTTTTTTTTAATATTAAAAAATTACAAGTTGCCAGAAGGACATGGATCAGTGAGTGGATTGATCTGGAAAGCTTGTGTAACAGGCTCCCTCCGTCTCTGTATCTGTCTCACACGCAATCAGCGTCCAGGAGAGGATAAAACAATGGCAGGAACTGATTTAAAGCTGTGGCGCTCGACCATAAACCTTCATTCAGCACCAAATCAGCAAACCCTCAATATGAGCTCAAGCACAGGATCTGCTGAAGATCACATTGGAAGGAAGTGTCCTCTCACATAGGAAGGGGATAGAACACTCAAAAAAGCATTTTATTTTTCTCTCTCTTTTTTTCCCCCTCTTGAAAGCCATCTTGCTTCCGGGCTCGAGTCCATAACCTTCTGACGCAAAGAGGGGAGAGCGAGAGCTATTTACTGGGCTAAGCTGACACTTAATTTAAGTGCTGACACACACACAGACACACTGGATGGAAGAGATGTAAAGTACTGTAACAACAACAACTTATATAGCACCCCTCATGTAGGGTAGCTCACAAAATGTACAGTCACTACACTTTACAGTATATCCTGTGAAGCGCTATTTCAAATGCAAGGATTATTAAATTAAATAATAATAATCCTTGCAATTGATACAGCGCCTTACCACCTCTTCGAGACGTCTCAAAGGGCTTCACAGGATACACTGCGAAGTGAATTGACTGTATATTTTGTGGGCGAATAAACAAGATTCAGGCAAACATCCATTTAATCGCTACAGCTCGGTGTAAAAATGTCCCGTCTTCTGCTGTCTGTGGTAATATTTGCCAGCTGTAATATTTTCCACCTTGAACCAACTAGAGAAATGTTCAGGCTCGTTCAAAGGACAAATGAATAAAAGGAACCTCAGACTATCAGATCTACTGGCCGGAGGCCATATATATCCACGATAAGAGAATAGAGTGAAAATGACAAAAATATATATATATATTAAAAAAAGCACACAAAGAGACTGCCTCAGGACATGTCACATTGGAATCACTAAGCTCTCAAGCCATAATATCTGGTCTACACTTCCAGCTCCTGCCAGCATCATCTGAACTCTCCCAAAAATGTGCGTGGACTGGGGATACAAAGCTAGAGATCATCTGTAGTATATCTTATTTTATTTATAATCCTTTCTGAGAAGTACAGAGCTCTGCAGAGAGGACAGTTGCAGATCAAAGTTGACACGGAAGACAGAAATAAGATTATTTCAAACCTTTCTGTATGACAAAACGGACAGAAATTAATAATAAACAACAACTTGCATTTATTTTGCGTCCCCTCGCCCAGGATGCTTGCCCTCAGAGGTTCCCAAGCCTTGGCTCTTGCCAACCTCCGCCTAATACACTCCGGAATTAGGTAAGCAGGATATGCCCCCCCCCACCCAGAGAGAAAGACAGAGAGACAGAGAGAGAACGCATTCCATTCCAACAACTATCTGGGATTTCCGTGTGTAGACGGGAGGCCTGGAATTCTCAGTTGGGTTTGGAGACTCTTAAGCAACAGTGATGGGTGTTTCCGCGTGTGTCAGACACCCGCCCGGCTGACCCCCCAAAAGACACACATTAATAACCCCTCCAGTTGATCCAGCGCCTGATCACGTCATCGAGACGTCTCAAAGCCCTTCACGGGATATCCTGTAAAGTGAATCGACGGCGTATTTTGTGGGCGAAACGCTGGATAAACTCGGCTACAATACTTTGAAATAATTTCAATTGATACGAGTTTCGCCCGCGATCGATCGGAGCTTGTGGGAGAGGGATCTCCCTCTCTCTCTCTCTCGTGTTTCTCTGCGAGGTGGTTGACTGGTGTTTGGGACACGGTCTCGCGATCTTACCTCTTCAGGTCGACTGTCGTGACGTTAAACACCACTCCTTTCAGCCACAGGATCATGAAGAGGCGCTGAGAGAAAGGGCAGTTACCAATGCTTTCTCCATCACTCCCGGCCTGAAGGTAAATAGGATAGAAAGGGAGAGAGAGAAAAAAATAAATCAACGGTTCAGTACAACTGCTCCGTCCTGACAGCTCATAAGAATTGGCTCATAAGAAGAAGACCGAGGCCCATCCAGTTCGCCTTCCACCATCCTGGCAGTCACTTAGAACACGTCCTGTCCCAAACTATATACTGTACTGTATCCCGAGATAGTATTTCCTAACAGAAATCGATCCGATTTGTTCGATGTTCCATCAGTAAACGGCCAACAGCGGAGCGAGACTTGCGGAAGGGAAATGAATCGGATAAGCAACGGGGACACGATATGAATGAAGTTTGTTGGGCTTTCTTTCTCTCTTTTCCGGTTTAACTGTTCCTCTTTTATTAACGCTGCAAACTCAGTCGAAATTTAGGATTCAGGGCTACTTGGAATCGGTTTGAATAGGATTGAAACTGATTCCGAGTAGGATTAAAGCTTTCACCAGATACCCCACATGTGCCTGAAAGACCCACATCTCCAGGGCGCGCACAACACTAAATTAACGTTAAAGAGGTGTGATTATTCTGCGATGAGGAAACAAACAGAGGTGAGCATATATGTATATAAAAACATTGTGCGATGGTTACAAACATAAAATAATCCCTTCCAAAAAACAATAATAATAATAATTTGGTCACTTCAATCCACGGCTGGTTGTGGGGACACTGCTGTGCGCAATTGGCTGCCGAGTTGTTTCGCCCACAAAATATACAGTCGATTGACTTTACAGCGTGTCCCGTGAAGCGCTTTGAGACGTCTCGAAGACGTGATATGGCCCTGTGTCAAATCGAGGATTATTATTATATCATTACATATAAAATGATACAGAAAATGCTCACTACTAAACCAGGCGTTCCCGTCTGATTCATCCCACCATTAAAAACATTCTCACGTGTCATTGTTCCCAACTCAGAAGTTTAAAGTCACAGTCTGACCAGCCTCCGAAAACAGCTCAGCCGCCCCTCCCTCCCTCCCCTCCCTCCTTTCTCAATATAATATAAACAAGAACCCATCTGGCTGCTCGATCCGGTGGGTCTGACTGCTCGGATTCATGAACCTTCCATCTCTGCAGGAACCACTGACCCTGAACCATCACATACGCAGATGAGAGAGTGGATTCCCTGGAGTTGGGAGTGTTGCTCCTGGTTTCTTGAAAATACTTGAGCTGGAAGCCTACACGCACGCGCGCACACACACGTACGGGCGCACACACACGTACGCGCGCACACACACGTACGGGCGCACACACACGTACGCGCGCACACACACGTACGCGCGCACACCTTAACAATCCCAACTGTGACACTGCCTGCCTGATCTGGAACTTTTTAGACACGAACATCATCTCTGTTTAGCCAGAAGTCAGTAGGAACCCGCTTGTTAGTCGATTGGCTGGTCACTTTTCCGGGGGCTAATAATCCCTTCGAAAAATAATAATAATAATTTGGTCACTTCAACCCACGGCTGTTTGTGGGGACGCTGCTGTGCGCAATTGGCTGCCGCGTTCCGCCCACAAATATACGGTCAATTCACTTTACAGTATATTCTGTGAAGCGCTTTGAGACGTCGAGAAGACGTGGAAAGCACTATATCAATTTCAAGGATTATTATTATTATTATTATTATTATTATTATGATGATGAGCTCCCTCACAGCCCAGCCTTGCTGCCAGGGATTCTCAATTTTAGATTCGAATAAACCTAAACAATTGGATTTTGAGGTTGGATTATCCTGTGTTTATATAATCCAACCCAGAAACCCAGAGCTTCGTAAACCTACAGGAAATTTGACAACCACAAAGGTTCTTTTCATTCAAAATATCCTGAAGCACCAAAACATCTGCAGGGAAAATGGCTGAAGTCTTGTCAGCGTCTATCCCTGGAGGCTATGGGATGCTAAGATCATTATTTCAGTATCGGGGCAAAGGCTTACAACAACAACTTGCAGGTATATAGCTCCCCTCACATGGGGTAACATCCTGTAGTGCTTATAGGGGGAGAGGGAGGGAGGAAGGAGGTGACCATAGGCACAGTGGAAGAGGAAGGTCTTTCTTCATGATCCAAAAGAGGGGAAGGAAGGTGCGAGGCGGAGGGATTTGGGAGAGAGAGAGTTCCAAAGCTTCGGGGCGCAGTGGCTGAAAGTGCGGCCGCCGATGGTGGAGCGGAGGAAGGGGCCGAGGGACGAACAGGAGGCCCTGACCGAGGTGGGTGCAGGTCCCGAGAGAAAGAAATACGAATGATCGCTTCCAAGCCTGAGGTACAGATTTGCTGCTGTACATAATGAGACTCGAGTCTAACTGCACAGTCCTTTCTCTGCTCCCCTCGGGACTGTGTGCAATAGGAAGTCACAGGGGCTCCTTCCCTCCCTCCCTCCCTCCCGCCCTCCCATTTCAGACGCAGCCTCACTGAGCAGGCATGTGGCACCAGCTCAACACAAACAGCTTGGGACACAAGAGGCAAAACTTGGTTCAGCTCAGGAATAGCAGCACAGAGGGCGAATTCAAGAATGGCTCCGTCCATTCGGGTTATGTTCCCGGGTTTATAATGGTTCCCAGTGTTTTCTGGAGCTACAGGCAAAAAAAAAAGCCACACACCTCTTCCACAACTGAAGGGAAACACTGTATTGTACGCAGAAGCCAAGGCTTATTAATTAATCTTCTGTTTTCTCCAAAGGTTCTCAAAGACTCCTTCCCAGCATATCCTGTTAACCCTCAAAACACTAGTCGACGAGAATTGCCTACGCTGTCAAGAGAGAGCTTCCAGATCTGTTCAGTGTTAAAAAAAAAGGGCACAGTGATCCTGAGTAATGGGCAAACTATTTCTTGTTTAGTTGGCAGAACCCCCCTCACCCCTATTGCCCACTAACCCTGTGCCTTTACTTACAAAACTGAAAGTGAAATGTGCATTCAGGTTTAAAATGCAATCAAATAAAATGTCCTAAAATGTCACAAAATGGATAGTGAAACCACATCAGGGGATTTTTCTAGTGGGATTGTCCCGGCAGCTGGGAATCAGTGAAATCAAGAATTTAAGTACTCATTACCAGCGCTCGTAACCAGCAAAATACTCTATTTGTTTAAAAAAATACATATATCACTAGTTTCACATTAGGAGAATGCCTCACAGAGTTTCACGTGATTTACTGTAAAGTGTGATGACTTTTTTAAATAAACAAATGCAACAGCCAATTAGTCCGCAAATAGTCGTGGATTCTTCAAACGTGCCTTCAGCTCCCCTCTCCACTCTCTACCCCTCCTCGCTCCCTCCCTTCCCCCCTCTCACCCTGACCATTTCCCCCTTCCTCACTCCCTCCCTTCCCCCCCCTCACCCTGACCATTTCCCCCTTCCTCACTCCATCCCTTCCCCCCCCTCACCCTGACCATTTCCCCCTTCCTCACTCCCTCCCTTCCCCCCCCTCATCCTGACCATTTCCCCCTTCCTCACTCCCTCCCTTCCCTCCCCTCACCCTGACCATTTCCCCACTGCTCTGGTCCCGACCCAACTGTCCAGGGCCTTGGGACATCCTCCCGACGTGAAAGGCGCTCTATAAATGCAATCTTGTTGTTGTTGTTGTTGATTGAGTGAATTTTTTTTGGGGGGGCGAGAGATTATTACCCCCGGAAAGCGATCTGATCCCCCAATCGACGAAAACTGGGTTCCTACTTGCTGCTTGATAAACAGAGGCGTGTGGAGTAAGGAAACTTGCCTAAGGTTTTGCCCTTATTAGGAGGGCTGGACGATTATACGGAGTGTAAACACCAGCACAGATTAATTGGGTTGTACGGTTGGTTTCTGTGCTATTGCACTCGATGTCGTTCTAACCACATCTTTTAATTAATTCTTTTTTTTAAAAAGTTTTAAAAACCTAAGATGGAAGAGAATTACAATTACTGTAACTAATTGCATGAAACCCCTACAAATTACTACAAAATCCTAAACCGTTAGGTTTAAGGAGTTAATCCGTAGAAATAAAATGTATTAATCAATTTAGTATCCCTTAGTCTAGAAGCAGACAGATGAATCAATAAGCCCACATGAAGTCAGATTATGGTGGGGTGCTAGCTTTCCCGCATAATGCAAACTCCCAGACTATTCATGATCTCATCCACGCTTGATTATTTTAATCCTGAATTTCTTCTCTTGTTAATCACACTTGAACAAACAGACACCATTAACCTGGGAGCTTTTATGTGTGGTGGAAACCGCAAGCTAAAGCCAATCGAGGTCGAATAGACAACTAACTGACTGATCACTGGAATACTATCACTGCACTTTCACGATTCCCTTTTTCCATCTGACGTAACCGGATTTCAAAAAAATATTAACAACAATATAAATAATCCTTTAATTTGGTACAGCTTTGAGATGTCACAAAGTGCTTCAAAGCATATACTGTAAAGTGAATTGACTGTATTTTGTGGGTGAAACATGGCAGCCAATCGCAGATTAAAAATCTCCAATTGCACCACTTTGTTTAATATACAGTATATATATGCATTTCGCCCACAAAATATACAATCAATTCACTTTCCAGTCTGTTCCACGAATGTGACTGGACGCTTTGAGACATCTCAATCCACACGATAAGCGCTATATCAAATGCAAGGAATATTATTGTTATGTTAGTGCATAACAAAAAGTACATTACATTCCCCAATACTGGGAATACTTGATATGAGCCGGGCATTCTGGGGGTAGTGAAGAGAAGCAGATTCCTTACCCAAAAGAAGATCCACTTATCAAATGTGAAGTTAGTCAGCGTACACTCCAACTCCAACCGACAATCCTCTGCGTATCATTTACGACCAAACTTTACAGCACAAAATGCCATTTAACCAATCGTGCATATAAGTGATATCAGTTTAGTCTTTAGTCTCGTTTCTCTGCCCTCCCTCCCTCTATCCTTTTGTATTATTTTCCAAAGACTGGTCTAAATCATTTATTAAAAAGCCATTATGAATTCTGCATCAACCAA